TCTATTGTACTTATGTGTTTTCTCCATGTTAAGTTTTCATCAAGTATCACTCCTAAAAATTTTATTGATGACTCTCTAATTATTTTAGAGTTGCCAATATAAAGATTATGAAGTTTTAGTGGAATGTTTTCTTTATCGTGAACTCTATAAAAAAAAGTATACTTAGTTTTATTTAAATTTAAGCTTTGGTTGTTGCTTTGTTGCACTTGCTGCTGAAGAGGTTGCTTAACTGCCAACCACTTTGGTCTGTATATCTAATAATGCATACTGTTCGATTTAACTATTTTTAAGTATAATAATAACATATTTCATCTAAAACAGAACTAAAGTATTTCAACATAACAATGTATTAAACAAAACAAGTGTAACTTCTTCATACAAAGCATTTGCGTACCTAAACACGACTATTATTTATATTTGTTGGAGTCGAATAGTCAAATCTGACAAGTATAATTAATAAATTATTTGTGATTGTCAGAGTTGACTAGTCATCACTGTTATTAGTATCAAATGCTAAATCATTGGCATTATTAAAAAATAATAAGAAAAATTTATTTCAACTTTCCAGACAAAGTTTCAAATTTAATATGTATGTTAAACATTTTAAATTTTCAACTAGTTGCAAAGAACTGTACAGTACTTTTTTCATGTGACTAAGGCAAATATATTGGTATGAAATTTAGACAAGGAGCTAATCGGGACTAAAGTTTACGCACAGAGATATTTTTGAAATAACAGTTATGAACCATAATTATAATTAACAATATTTATATGAAACTAAGTTATTATCCCAGGTAATAACAATTATTATAGTGATGATAAGTTCCTTATTTAAAATTCATGCCAAAAAAATTGCCTTAGTATAATGTAAAAAATATGCCATATGTTTAATATATTAAAAATTGAATTGTACTAAAGTACGCCATATTTATATATATTATAACTGAATTAAACCATATCAAGCTTCTTATAATTTATAACTGAATTACACCACATCAATCTTACTTGAGAGCGCATGGTTTGATGCATAATTTCAACGCATAATAATGATTTAATGTAAACATAGTCATAGTATTTAACTAGTCTGGAAACGCGTGCCGTTTTCTATAGATTTCGTAAAATAACTTGAGCTTTAAGGGGTGACTGGACTGAGAGTGCATCAAATGTTTTTAAAATGACTTTTTGTAGCGCAGACTT